TCTCCTTCTCTGGTCCTGCACACAAGCTACCACAAAGGCTGGAGCAAAGGCTGGGGACAAAGAACATGGCCCTGTACATCTGAGGTCAAACAGGTAAACTGAGGTGGGACAGTGGAATCAGGAAGAGAAGAGCAAAGAAAAGACTCCACAAACTTATAATAAACCCTCCAAAACAACTCCCTGCTCCCTTTCTGCATAAGAAGTGAAGGCAGTTGAGAAAATTGTGCTTAATAAAGTTGGAGAAGACAGAGAGAGATCCTCATTCAACTGAGAGCAAAACAGCAACCAAAGCAAGTGACAAAGTTGTGTGGAACCAGGTGCATAAGGCAGTTGGGATTTTGGCAGTTGGGAGCAAAGGACAGATTCCCTCATAACCAGGCTTGCTGGAGCCATGGCTCCGTGTTCCCCTTTCTCCTTCCCTCAGGGAAACCAGCCCTGACGCCACCTGAGCACACAGGACCAAAACAGAGTTCTCAAATGGGCCTGAGAGCTGAAGAGATACACACAGAGACAAAGCTCTCTGCAGCAGAGGCTGTCCCAGCCCTGCACAGGCAGTGCCCTGATATTTTGGGGGCGTGGGCCGGTTCCCAAGTCCCTGACACTGCCACAGGACTGCTCCCACAGGCAGGGCTCCCACCTGTGTGCCCATCCCCATGGAACAGCTCCTTTGCACTCAACAGAAGCAAGCACAGCTGCTTGTTGCCATCTGCCCTTCTTGCTGCCATGACTTGATCATCAGTCCTGGGAAGAACCTGCTGGAAGAATTGAAATTTTACTATTCCCAGAAGGATGCAGGAGTTACAGCAGAGAGGCAAGGAGGCTGAAGAAGAGGTAAATGGATAGCTGAGCCAGTCTCAATGAAACTGCTGCCTCTCAAACACTCCCATCCTGCTGGCTGGATAGCGCACTGGGCTGAAACCCAATTGCTTTGTCATCTTCGGCACTTGCTGCAGGCAAGCACCAGCTTTTGTCAGCCCAACATCCTTTCCTCTGCCATGCACCCCAGAGCAGACGAGTGAGTTTCTAGAAAGGGTCCCAGCTGACAAACAGGGAAAGGAGTGAGGATATAGGTGTCCTGGTGCAGGAGTTCCCTGAGCTAGTGTTGGAATCCAAGAGCCCAGAGAAATCAACCCATCCTAAATCCCCAATACTCTGCTAACTGCATTATAAACAAAGAAGATTTAATTAGCACATGTAAGTAATCTCCTCCTTAGCAGCATCATTCCAGTGGTACACTCTGAATTCTGTTGCTACTTATGTGGCCCTCAAGGACAAGAGGTGGTGTTGTATGAATTTCCTTTGCTTCACAATAGGGGAAGACCAAAACTACAGAGACTTTACCAACTCACCTAGAAGTCCTCCAACTGCCATCAGCCACTTCAAAATGTATTCCCAAACAAAACAGATTGTCCCCAAATAGCTTACCTGGAATTCTCTATTCTCAGCAGCAGTCTTTCTTACCTGGAATTAGCTTGCCTGGAATTGTCTACTCTCAGCAACAGTCTTTCTTCTCCTGGCAGCACTCTTAAACTTTACAGGAGAGTAGAAAAGCTTGCCTGTGCTCCAGAAGTAGATTCCAGCTTGCCTATTGCACCTGCCTGCTGTCACAGCCCTGGTCAAGGGAGACATTCCAAGAGAGCCTCCTGGATCCAAATGTACAGAAATATCATCACCAGTGCAGGAGAACCAAAAGAAATGTTCCCAGTAATTGCCTGAATTAATCTTTGTACTAAATACTCTTCTAAGCAACTCTCATTTAGAGATACTTCAATAGAATCACAGAATGGCTTGAGTTGGAAAGGACCTGAGTGCTCATCTAGTTCCAAACCCTCCCTTCTGTAAGCAGGGACACTTTCCACTAGACCAGGTTGCTCAGAGCCCATCCAAGCTGGCCTTAAACACTTCCAGGGATGGGGGATGCTTTCATGGGCGTGTACATGGCACAGGGAGCCCCAGTCCAGCCTCACACAGCGTCCTCAGAGCTTGTATTTACAGGCTCCTGCAAGTGGGAGGCTGTTTACTAAAAGGATTAGATAAGGCTTGACAAAGCAGGAAGGTGGGCATGCTGTGCCTTAGAAAACTTCTGCAATACAGAACCCAAAACATCCCTGTAGGCAATTCCAGTTAGAAAAGAACCTAAAAAAGAAGAAGTGGGGAGAAATTGCAAACAGGTTTGGCAGAGCACTTTGGTCACAGCTGGACAGAGGGTTAATGACAGGAGAGTGACCAAAGAGCAGTGGGTCCAAGCCACCCCCAAGCAGTCATTGCTTGTACTGGAGAGGTCTGTGGGACTATCTCAAAATACTTTCTCCTTCTATCTCTGAGAGAAAACAACCCCTAAAGCACGCTGCTGCTCCTCCCACTCTCCTGCAGAAGGGAGAGCTGCTCTCCTGGGTTTGGTGGGGACAAGCAGCTCACGTGCTCTGTAAGGCTGCCCAGCACTTAGAGCAGAAGCTCAATTCTCCCTGCTTTGGAGAGCACAGTGGTACCCACTAGGCAGACATCCAAACCTTTTGGGTTCCAGACTTCCAAGGAAACCAGGACACAGCAGCATTGCTTCTAGGACACCTATTGCAAGGCCCTTCCTTGACACAGACAGGGGTCATGGGCTGAAGCACACCTTTTCTGTCAGTATCAGTTGGTCAGTCTGCCATACCTGGCATTCAGTCTGAAACAGAGATCAGTTCCTTATGCATTTCCTTTGCACTTCTGAAGTTAAGCAATTCCTACTCTTTTGCTTGCCCACACATTATGCTCTGGAGATCACAGTCACAGTGGTGGTGATGGGGTTTGCTACTGTCAGCATTTTCAGATGCTCAAGCAAAACTCTACTCCTTCTTCAGAGTGCTTCCAGAGTAGGCTGGGAAGTTCCTGATGAGTAGGTGGGGAAAAAAAGCGATAGAAAAGGGGTAAAAACATGAACTGTTAGTTTCCTTGAGGAACAGCATGACAGCACCACCAAACTACTTGGGGTTGAGAGACCAGAACATGGAGGCAGGAGTTTCTCCAGTGGTCTGGTATTGTGCTCAGTTCAGAATTTATTATAAACTATAAAACACAAACACAATTACCAAGTCCCCCACTGTGTCCATTTAAACACAGCTAAGCAAAGACATGGATTCATGTTTAATGGAATGAGCCACAGGAGAGAAGGCACAGCAGGGCCACAGCCACATGGCATATTTAATTCCAAGGGAAGAACACCTGACTTCTATGTGCAGATCAACAAAGAAATAAATTAATAAAACCAAGTATATGGTCTGGTTCCTTTAGGACCATTAGTTACACCACCTCTGTTAGGGGACTCTCACAAAACCTCCTGTGAGCCTGATCAGGAAGAGTGCCAGACTGCAGCCCTGGAACATGGTCCCCTTTTAGGCTGGGATGAGGGTTTGGTTTCAGCATTAGTCAGGGCTCAGGTCTTCACAGCAGCTGAGTGAAAAGCAGCTGCTAGAGCCAGACCTGTGAGGAGGAGGAAGGGAGGAAGAGGAGGATGCTTAGCAGAACCACACCAGGGACAGTGGAATAAAGCACACGGAAGGACAAGCCCAGATCAAGTCAAAGAATGTTTATTCATGTGAGGTCAGTTCAGACATGACCAGATTGAAAACCTTTCTCCCTCGGAGCACCCTGGAGAAACACAGAGAACTGCAGACCCAGGACAAGCACAGCAGCAATCCCCAGGCCCTGGGCACACTAATGGGGTGGTCCCAAAGCACCACGTGCTCGGATGCAGTGGCTGGGCAGCCTGGCCTTGGCGCTCCGTCACTGCTGACACCTCTCAAGAGGGGACAGAGCTGTTTACAGGAAGCCATTTGTTACAGGGGCCGGCCTTCTCCTCCCCCTCGACCCCAGCCATGTCCCTTCCCCACCCCACCTTCCATCAGAAGCTTATCTGCTGCCCAGAGAGGCAGCCAAAAAGTTCATCCAGGTTGGAATTTGAAACCAGAGATTCTCAGACGCTGTAACTCGGGCAAACGGTGCCACAATCAATTTTAGAACTAAATTGCAGGGAGTTTTCATTCTATTTGTACAGGGGCTAATGAGTAGCTTGGGATGTGAACACTAACCCCAGGGCATAATTCTGAGAACAGGATGATAGATTCCCAGTCTCCTGCTCTAATTATACAGGCAAAAATTGGAATGGGAATGAGAAGAGTCAAGAACAGGACTCAGGCCCCGTATCAGCTTAATGGCATAATTTTCCCAAGCACTGAAATACTTTGAGGGTCAACAAAAAAAATGCAACAATCACCTCCACCCAGAGAAAAAGACTCAAAAAAAATATAAAATGGGGCAACTGAGTTCCATATTAAGCAAAGCTGTGCATGGAGACATAACTACAGAAGCAGCAACCACCAAGCAACCATTCAAAACTGTAAAACCGTAAGGCACTAATGATGTTCCACTCATTACAATCAACACATGACTAAAAACTGACATTCATCAATTAAAAAATAAAAAATAAAATCAATGCACATTTTGAAAAGGCAACTGTTTCCTTTTAAAAAGTTTCAAATTCTCAGCTCCAACTTCTGCTGTTCCCCACCTCCATCCAGGCACTGGCTAGTTAGACAGAGTGTTTGCTCACAAGGTCTGCAGGTTAACACAGACCAATTACAATGAAACATTTCAAGGCATAAACAGAAAGGATTTTTTTGAGAAGTTACTCAGTGATCCCATTAAGATCACCAATAAATGTTAGAGCTGTCAGTTGGTCACCCCACTTACCAGAGTACTGCAAAGCACTCAAACACCACACAGCAAGCACAGCCACTTGTTTTTAGTGCTTGCAGGCAGACTTGCATCTACTCTTCCCTTCAAAGTACAACTCAAGCTTCCAAACCCTGGAGCTTGAGGTCCCCTAAGCAGCCATAGCCACAGGAGCATGAGGGGAAACAGCAGCAGTTGCTCATTAATGCTACTCCATGAGTACACTTCAGCCCCTCTCTGAGAGCAGCCAGGTCCCTTAAATTCCTTTAATTCCATTCTGATCCTGCTTTGCTAGAGATGAGCAATTGCCCAAGGAGTATGAAGTCAGTGACACCAGTTTCCTTCAGAAGGTCACCTCACACCCATTTTTGTCAGTATTGGTCAGGTTCAATGAACAAAGTAGTGAAAGTGTTTGTGTCCCATTACTGATCCCTGAAGCCAACCAAGGATCCTTTAGACACAAAGGACCTATTAAGGCTTATTTCAGAGATTACATAAAGTATTGCACACTATTTGTCTGCTTCAATAGTTTAAAAAAATGAAATCTCATTTCTCAGAGATTAGTAACATTATTAAAAATGTTAAAAACAAATATAGAGGTAACTTCTTCATGTGACTCTACTGGAATACGTAACAGTTAAAAGATGGGGATAGCAGAGGTCCATGTGTGCAGAGATTTAGCAACAGCAGTTTTTAAACAACTGGACAGATAAATCCCAAATAATTATTTTTGCCCTTTCTAAAAGCTAAGGTGATCTGAAATTTAGGACTGTCCATGAACTGTACTGTATGATTTCACCAGCACAAAAGAGCATCAAGATTCATTGCAAGACAGCCTCCCGAAAACCGTCAGTTTCAAAGAGCTGACTTTGGTCAGCAATCCAGAAATAAATAAGAAAAGGTATAGGAATGAAACACCCAACAGAAGACCCTGGTGTGACTGCTGGAAGGGTCTGGGAAGCTGGGACAATCCATCAGTCCCTTGGATAGTCTGGCTTAGGTCAGCAGCTCCACGACACAGGTCGTCTCAGGACAGGTATTTGGTGCTTCACGACTGAGCTCACCACAGGCAAGTCAATCAAATCTTGTGGAGTCCTTCTGAACCAGTCCAAACCTGGAGGATGTACCCAACAAGTCTCCCAGAGCTTTGGTGAGTGTCCCAGCTGTCAGTTGCACCCAGCAGTCCAGGCAGAGGGAGCAGAATCACTCTGCCAGCATCCGCAGGCGCCACTCGTGCAGCAGCAGCCTGATCTCCCTCACTATCAAGGGTGAAATGAACAGGACTGTGGAACTCGTCTGGGGAAAGAAGCAAATCCAGGACAATTAGCACAGAGCAAGCAGAGCTGCAGGCCCCCCTGCTCCAGTGTGCATCCAAGGCCACCCCAGGAAGACACAGGCTTAGGGAAGCAGTGACAGAGTGGCACAGCAGAGGAAGAGCTGAGCGCGCAGGAAAGCTCATACAATTTCAGCTGTCACGATCACCTTTTCATAAAGATGATCTCTCCAGCTCCTCAGGGACCTTGCTCCTCACCACCTCTGCTGGTTACCAAAGGAGCCTTCTCTGCCAGCACAGAGGCAGAGACATCTCCTGGCACTTCCAGCAGAGAAGACCAAGTAAATTGTGCAGAGTTCACCACTGTGGTGATGCTGAGGACATCAGGGCCTCGACAGCTCTCTGCCCCAGCAGCAAAACAGGGCTAAGGCATTTTCAGTTTAGTTTCAATACCCTCACCACTCTTTCCACTAATCTTCAAAACCTAACAAACAAGCAGCTTAACTTCAGCTCTCCAAAAACATTAGAAACTCTGTACCATGAAGATGCAGGAGGGAGAAGCCCCACCTTGGAAGTCAGGTGGCATTTGATTTAGGAAATGCATACAGGTATTTTTGGGCAGGTACTTTTGTGTCTCTGCTACAATCTCAGTTCCTGTTGGGTAACATGACTTTAAAGGATCCAAAATGAACTGATTTGACTTAGGCAATCTGAGGCAAAGCCACACCCCAGGCCACTTTGAGAATGGTATCAGGAGTCACAGTTCTCATGTTCCCACAAAAACATCCTATGGCAGATTGAGCTTTGACAAAGAATTTTTTAAAAAGGTGATTTCTTACCATTAGAATGAAGAAATAGAAAACCCACATCCATCCCAGGTTCTCCTGGATCAAAGACACTAGATACTAAACAGAAAGGGGAAAAAATATTATTCAAACTGGGAAGATAAACATGACTTTCAGGCATGACACTTTCATTTTCTAGACTTTGTGGGCTGTTAGCACTCCAGTTGGAAGATTTTGTCATCAGCACTGTGTGATCTTTTCCTGTCAGAAGGGATGACTCAGGACAGCAGCCTTTTTCTGTACAAAACCCACAGTTTCAGCAAAGCAGAGACACCATCCTGAAGCTTTACAGTAACTCAGAACAGCACAAAGACAGAACTGAACTACAGTTTCAAAGGGTGACAAATTGACTCTGCTGAATACGAGGTTTTTGCACGGAACACTGGGACATAAGTGGATGTAAGTACTCTCAGAAGAACTAAAAGCTCCAGAATGGGTTATAAATTACACAGGACACATTTTCAAGAGCTGTGCTACCAGTAACTGCTTAACCCTTCATCCAGGCAAGACACTTGAGACTACGCTCTGTTCTGAGCTGCACCCTGGCTCAGCTGGGCAGCCCGGGCCACACAAGAAAATTTATCTCTTATTAGCAGATTTATACTCAGATGCTGCACAAGGGCCTCCCTTCTTCACCACTGGGTATATCAGAACAGGATGTGAATTTCCAACATGCTCATTGTGCATTTACTGTCACTCACACCCCCCCGGAATGACGTCGTGCTTGTCTCTGCTGGAATAAATGCAGTGTTGGAAGGGGAGGCAGGTGGAATCTCTCAGAAGCAAAGACCCACTTTTTATGATGATGTGAGTTTGGATGGTATGTGTGTGGGAAGACAAAAACACTGAGATGATGCCAGAAGAGCACTGAGTGTAACAGTGCACTGGTATTTGTCCTCAAAGCACTTGTAATTTTCCATGTTCAGAGGAGATAAGCAGCATCTATCCTACAATAGGATAGACTGAATGAATGATTGCATTTATCAGGCAATCAATGGCAAGCAGAAACCCAAAGCTCTTTCTAGAAAAGAAACTTGTAAGCCTCGTCTGCATCCTTGGTATTTTACCACCACTGGAGGATGCCTGGAGAAACACTGGCTCCAATCTCTCTACTAAATCCTCCCCAGAGCACCACTGTGTTCTTTCACGTAGCTAACACTTGTATTTGAGAAGAAAACATCCCCAGTGGGCACACTGTCAGCTTCCTCCTCTGCAACACTCTGCTCCTCAGACTGTAAGGACTGCTGCAGCAAGTGGGGCTGGGATTACAAGGTGTAAAAGACATCCACAGATAAAAAAAGAAAGCACAAATAAGAGCAAATTTTAAATCACTTCATAAACACTGTAACATTCATAATAGGTATTCCAATTTTACTCAGTGATAGAGATACACGTTTCTGTAAGAGAAGGTTTGCCTATCAGCTCAAAACAAAAAAAAACCCCCAAACTTCAAAATACCTTTTTTCACACTCTGCAAAGCTTTTTGAAGTTCAGCATATGAAAGTCTGTAAAATTCACTTGAATTACCAAAGTGCCTTAACATTAGCACTGTGAACACTTAGTTTAGTTCTTAATTACATTGTTTCCACTGGAAACTTTGTTAAAACAGACATGTTCCCTCGGTTGATTCTAAAGGAATTATTTTGAAAAAACCCCCAACCCTCTTTTTCTCCCCCAACACAAACTCAAAGTGATGAATGCACTAACATCTATCACCACAACAGACACTTCTCCTCCTTCCCCAGACCTCTCTTTTCCCTGGCAGCCTCACCTGGCCCACGGCAGCACCAATACTGCCTGTTCCATCCACAATTCCTGTGACTGTTGCCAGAGCCTCGCTGCTGCCTTTCACCAGATCCTGACGCCCCAGGTCAGCAGAAATTGCAGAACTGATCATGTTAGAAGGGCCTCCGATGAAAAATCCTGAAAGTGACAAGAAAACAGCCTTGGTGCAAAACAAATACTCATACAGATTCTCAACAAAGCATCTTCAAAACACAGATTTTCTACCACGAAAGCTCAGGACAAGAATTAAGTCTAGGGACAGTGCTCAGAGACAAACTGCAGGTAGAGGGGTACCTGAAACACACAATCATGGAACACCCTGAAATATCTGGAGTAGTCACACAGAAATAGCTAACAAGAACATTTTAATTAGCATAGACATCCTCAGTCTCCAGGGGCTCATGGAAGAGATGGAAGGCAAAAAAAAAAATACCCACGACAACAGGACAGAGAGTTCTGAAATAAGAGTGTTTGCAAAGAAAGGCTCTATTCATGCAGGCCTAATTCCATAACACAGCACAGTATGTGTGGCAGCACAAAAAGCTTGTGACCTCTCCCAGCACACAGGGTGTTTTGGATTCTGACAAACACTCTCAAGTTTGAGCTGCAGCTCATGACTCTGCCATATCCCCACTTCCTCAGATACCAGATCACTGCTAGGTATTTTGGCATAAATCCACCTCCAGCATACTGGAGTCAAGACAGATCCCCTCAGCTCCAGGCCATGATTCTATACAGTCTATATTCCATACCTCCCTCTGTGAGGCAGTTTTCCTACAGCTGTTTTCCAAAGCTAACAGAAACTGGGGCCCAATTTTCATTCTTTCTGCAAAACCAGCAGAGATGGCAGCACACACAGACACCTTACCACCACCTGGCTGGTGTTACTGGTTGTTCTGCAATGAATTTAGATGTCTACCAGCATAACAGTGGATTTTGAGAAGTTACCTGTAATTGCCATGATCACAGCATTGATAGGTTTGCTGTTTGGGGAACCTGCAAGAGAAAGACCAGGTGAGTGTAAATAAAACTTGAATAGTAAGAGAATCCTTCATTTATCTCTCTGGAGAAGTCAGACTCAGCTCAAACCCTCATCACAAAGTATTCAGCACTTGAATCAGCCCTTTCACTCTTCCTATATTTTCCAAAACACGAATTCCTCCTTACAAAGCCACGTCTGAACACCTACAGGTTCCTCTTGCCTCTCCAGCAGCATGTGTATATGCTGCTAGTTTTCCACTGCAGCTCTTCAGGACCTTTCAGACAGTTTTTCCTGGTATCTCACCTCCAGGCATCCCCTGAACTCCTCACTCCCTTCCCCTCAGGGCCCACACACAGTGAGTTACTGCACAAGGCAAGGTGCACCCTCCTCATATGTTCTCAGGCCATTATCCCTCTTATGGGCACAATAAGGTTTCCTGGTTTGGCTGATGGAAGCTTAATTATCACACTGCAGGAACTTTGGATCACCTGAGGCTTCTGTATCTGCCTGGACAGCAGCACATTTTGAGCTAAGTACAAGGCACCTGGGGCTCTGGCTGTTCTGCTACCTAGTCACAAACTTCAAACTTCATCAGCAATAATTTCATGTTTATTTCCAATGCACTTTTTAAAGCAATGAGTTAACACAAGAGCCTACAAAAACTCCACCAAACCCAATCCTTGCTATTCAATGATAATTACTTCAAGACCATCTGAGTAAGCCTGCATGCTTCCAAAAGCCCCTGCTCATTTCCAGATCCAGCAGAAATTTCTGCCCACAGATCTCAAAGTGCTCTATAAAAGTCTGTATGGATCACCATCCCATTTTGGAGGAACACACAGAGGAGTGAAATGGCATCCCAGAGTTAAATCACTCTGTACCACAGGACATTGTCTGAAAACACAAACCTGTCACCCCTAGAACTGCTTCATAGATGTTTCACACAAATTACATCCTCCCATCTCCTCACACTCTGTTTTCCCAAGATTCCTTTCAAAAACTGGACACCAAAAACTATATCTATCACAAAAGAGGCAGAAACTCTCCAATTTCACCATTTTCAGAAGTCTAAGTAGTGAAGTCTAAGAGCTTCTCCAGCCTCTGAGTAGTGAATATATACTCCAGCACACATCTGTCCACAGATTCTCTCTCCTCAGAGTACAGGGATGCATCTGAGACTTTTTGCTCTGCCAAATATGGTGTTGACACAATGACAATGCCAAAAATCTCACTGACACTGGAGAAGGATCAGTACCAGAAGGACCAGTACCATAACTCACCACTACAGGGAAATCCAGCCACTCAGAGCATTCATTTCCACCCAATTAACCAGAGAACAGATTTCTTTCTGTGCAGTGCCACACTTGAGCAAAGCAGACCAAAAGGCCCCATTCTGATCCAGCAGCAGTCTGAAGACCAGAAAACCTAATGAGAACAGGCTGTGCTCTGGTTCTCTGCAGGAGGTTCTGAATGAGCCTCTCACCCTGTGCAGCACACGAGTACTCACGGCTGTATCCAAAGAGGGAGCCCACAGCAAAGAGCAGGCTCACTGCCAGCACCGGGGCTCTCTTCTGCAGCACATCAGAAATCAAGCCCTGGATGGTCCCACCTGGCAAAAAAGAAGTTTCACTGTCAGGCTCAGGATGCTGATACCTTGAACAAAGCTTGTTTCACTGAGTGCAGTGGCCTCCTCTTCAATACACATTCCCTCTAACATCCTGAGAGCTAAGCCTCCTGCCCCTACTGCCCCAGACACAAAGACAACAGTAAATTTAAGTCTCAGATAAAGCAGAGAAAACTACTCATACTGCTTTACTGGGAGTTTATTGCTTCTTTTATTTTCTGGCATGCCACTAGCCAATGCTCCTACTTTCCTTCCTCTTCCCCTAAAGGACCACCACAGCTCTAGGACCACCACAACTCTGGATTAAGCAAGCTGAACACTGTGGCTGGCTCTTTTAACTGAAAGTGCAAGAAAAGGCAGCGCCTTCTCACAGGGAAAACATTATCACACAGGGGCCGCAAATTCTCTGCTGTCTCACCTGCTTAGGGCAGATGCAACTGAATGCAACAAATGCCAAAGGCCAATGAAAATCACCTTATGTACCCTTGGTACCTCTGCAGGAACTGCTCTGCTGTAAAAGCCAGAATGCTGAGAAAGCCTAGCGCAGAAAATGCCACAGAGGCAAAACCAGACCCTGAATGGACCCAAACAAGGATGTCTATTAAAGCTAACTGGACAAGGGAATAAAAATAGAACCTGAGCACAGGAGAGTGGAAGTCCAAACACATATACAGAATATACTCTTGATTCTGGAGGAACCAGGTCAGGTTTTGCAGCCAGCAGAAATAAAAGCAATTAGGTTTAATTTCTGAACATAACACAGTTGGTGCCTGCTCTCCTGAGATCTGCAATGAGTCTGTCCTTAGAAGCACAGGACAGACAGGACAGTACAGGACCCACCAAGTCCAGATTTAAATCTTCCCCAAGGGTACCTGTCAGAAAGGAAGTAGCAAGCAGGGGCCCCATTTTGTACATAGAACTTTTCTTATATGTTAACTCTAATATGTTAACTCTTTAGGGGGTCATATACTTTGTGTTTAAGGAAGAAAAGATAAGCCAAGCAGCCACAAACAAACTTAGACTTTTCCCACATTAAGTGATCAGCTAGATCCCAGTGAACAGAACTGCTCTGGCTGCATTTACTGTCTCTCATTCTCAAACACTGGGAAGCAGCTGCAAGAAGGTGTCACTCCCCTGCTCACTCACCTATGATTCCTCCCACATCATACCAGATTGAGAGCTGGTCAGCTTCTGCTTCTTTCCATCCAAAGTTGCTGCTGAGATAGAAGGGCAGCCAGAAGAAGAATGAGTAATTCACCAGCTTCAAGCAGGCATAGGCCAAGGAGTACTGGAACAAAGGGAGGGCCGGTGAACAGTTAGCACTTGAGAAATGCAAACAGCATTTCTGCTTATTTCCATAAAGTTCTGGATCCAGCTAAAGCTTTCAGAGGAAAGCACTTCTGAATTTCATGTAAGAAGGCAGGATCATGAAAGTTTAATGCTGAACATCAAAGGGAACCCAGGAATACAGAAATCATTGTCAAAAAGGTTATTTTTTTATCACTGAATGCAATGGGTTAATGCACTTTCAGTGTAATCTTGGGAGGAAATGACACTAGGCTTCAAAAAATGAAGAAAATTTAATTCACCTTCTGAAGAGAAGGGAGCCAATCACGTGACACGAAACAAGCTTGAGATTTAGTCATTTGTGCATCATGCTGAGAAAAGTTATGTGAAGTGGTTCCTCTGTGCTAGCTTGTGCTGCTCAGAAGGCTCATCTGCTTACAGCACCAGAAGAGAAAGCTTCACTCATAATGCCCAGGCAGGTATTCCAGGACATGGGATGAAAGGTTTGGCCAAAGCTGAGCACAGGCTTCCAAACCCAACAGCTGAGACAACTTTCTTTTGGTTGCTGGGCTCAGTTTGTCCTTAGCTAGCAGATCTCCTCCTGCAGAGCCTTCATGTGTGTGGCAAAGAATAGTGCTCAGGGGCTGCTGGCCCAGCATGCAGAGGGACAGGTCACCCTACTTTAATAGAGACAGCAGTTCAAGGAACCCATTGGAAAAGGCAAACAGGATAAAGATGTTAAAGCACAGCCTTTGAGGCTCTGTGCATATGGACACTTGACTCTGAATTTCAAAAAGCAGATCTTTTTATATATTAAATTCCACAAAATCATCTCTTCTGAATTTATATTATTTTAATAGATACAGACTTCTAAGCTGTATTATTAATGCTTTTTCACTCTTACAGGACACAAACTAATTTCCACCATACATGGAAGACATGGGGATGTTTGGTAGGGCTCTTCTGCCTCTGGGTGTGAAAAGTGCACTGTACAAAGTGATATTTATTACAACACACTAAGAAACTGTCTACCAGATTGTCTGAGTGATTAAACATTGAATTCCTAGAGGCTCAGGGGAAAGCTGTCTGTACTAAAACTCTTCCACTGTATCACTCAGCAGGAGATGAGAGGAGCTACAGAAAAAATATGTCAAATGAATTCTTTGTAGAATCTTGACAAGGCTTTGGAGATTCTCTCAGCATTTGGTCTCTCCCCAATCTGACATGGTACCCCTGTTTGGCTGGGCACTAAGCTGACATCAGATAAAGCTCTGACTCAGAGGTGCTCAGATTGTTGGATTAGGGCATGGAATGTGTCCCCAAACCCCAAAGTTCAAAGCAAACAACCTCAGATGCTGCCATCTCCTTTTGCTCAGGCCAGTGAAAAAAAGTCACACATCAACTGAGGCAGACACCATCACTAACATTTTGTGTGAGGCATTTATCCAGAGTAGGAAAGAGCTCAAGATGGGTTTGCTTTCTTTTGCCACCCCTCAACTGCAGCCCTAACAACAGGACTGTGGCTGTCCTGCACTCAGCACACTGACAATGCACCCCTCCCTTCCAGATTTTCTGTTGCCTTAATCACAACAGCCAACTGCCTTGCTCATAAGGGTATCTGACAGCACTGCCCATTCAGTAGTTCTGCTCCATGGCAAACCCAGGCAGCTCCCAGTGCTCTGCCCCCTTTCTTGTACTGGTTCCAGTATTCAGAGGGCACACAGAATGTGTGTCCTGCTGCAGAAGGTTAACACTGCTTTTTAATGACAGGTTAACTTTTCAGCTGAACATGAATTGGGCAACAGTGCTGATACAGAAGCACAAGTTTGCAAGGGACAGGACAAGGATATGTGGAAACTGCATCATCAGGCCTTGCTTCCTGCTGCTCATAAAAAAACCCTGCACACTTTGCCAGATGTTACACCATGCTGATTCAGGCTTTTCAGGCAGCTTTCTTCTTTAAGATAGACTCAAGATAAAAACTCCAAGCCTCAGTATCAGTGCCACAGAGCTCTGTGTGATGCTCAGTTAGGAGTGAGAACCCACTCCTCAGGGCAGGCATCTACCTTACCAAGAAAGGCAGATCCTACAGCCACCTTGGGCCATGGTCTCCCTTGCAGATTCACAGCAGGAAGGGCAGGATCTCTGCTGCACTTCACTGGCTCATTACATGCACTCCATGGAGCAGGATGGCAAGAGCAACACACACCACACATCCAGACAGCATCATCCATGTACACAAGGACAGCAGGCCCAACCCCAACATTTTCACAGCATGAGACATCAGATGCCAACCACTACAACATATGGTCAGCATATTAACAATGATGTGTACAAATCCTGACAACACAAAAAGGCAGCTTTATGTTTAACAGTTAAGTCAGCTTGTACTTAAGACTCTGTATCCTCACCAGTACTACACCAGGAAGGCAGCAAGCCTGGAAGAAGCCAATGGCCTTGGGCTGGTTGTCATTGTCAGTTGCTTGAATGGAGTAATTCTGGTCATCATCATCCACATCATCACCGCCCATTAGGGGTCTGTTGGCATCTTCTTCCACACTGGCTTCATCTTCATCTGCTCCAAGCTCAGGGAGGCCTAAGTTTTACAAAGAATAAGCAACAGGAAAAACAGACCACAGCCTGTTCACCCTCTCCCCACTCTAAAGCTATGCTCACTTCTTTTAAGCAATTCTAGCTTCCAGCAGTTCCCTTGCTCTCCCATACCTCCATCCTCCTGTGGCTTAGAAACTCTTCTAGATGGTGATCTGCAGTGCCGCCAGTTTCTACCCTTTGTCTTCTAGGGCTCTTGAAAGTACTGTGTGATCCTGGCGTCGCTTTGTCTGCTCTGAGTGTCTGGCCATTAGTTGGAAGACACAACAAATTAGTGCACTTCCCCCCTCACTGAGGGCTTGGGATCCTCAGCCTGGCCCTGGGTGCCACCTCCCTCGAGCGCGGAGCTGAGAGCAGCAGCAGGGCCTCAGACACCTGCTGCTGTTAATGCCTCTGCCGGAATGGGAGGCCTGGGAACTGCATTGTGCTTCCTGGGATGCAGAGCACTCTTACGAGCACGCTTTATGGCAGCTTTAGAGCTCCCAACTTTACAGCCTTTGCAGGCACCTGGGAAACCTCCTCCACAGCCCTGTCAAAGCCCCAAAGTTCTTTTGTTTCCCTGTTGCACTCTGACTTGCCTACCACCTTCTCAGAGAAGAAACACATCCAACCCAGAAGTTATTTATCTGGCTGTGGGAGACCTGCAGCCCAAAGTTACTTTCCCTTCCCTTCCACACTTAAGGCTTGCCATAGTTTTCTCCTACAATAGCCAGTTATCAGTTTGCCTGCTGTTTCTTTAACAAACACTGATGTTTCAGGTGAAGAAAAACTGATAATTAGGATAATTAGGCATATCCTAGTGGAGATGTTAGAGCCAGGCTGTTTTATTTTGCTTTAAAAACATCCAGACCCTATTCACGTGACACAGGGCAGCATTTAGTGTGATCTTGGCAAGTAAAGCATTTGCTCCATTGAATGCACTAAGGTGCAGCACCATTTGCTAGGAGCCCTGAGGATAAATGCTGTCAGAATGAGCAGCACTCCACGGGAAGCTGCAGATCTGCTCTCATGGAGGGACTGAAATAGCACAGCTCTTCCACTCACCCACTTCCCTCGGCGACGTCAGGAGCCCGAAGAACACGACGACTCCTCCCGCAAACTGCACCGAGGCCGTCACCAGGAAAGCATACTGAGCAGAAATAAATACAACATTCTTTTTAAAGCACTTCCAGCCACATACACCTCCCTCTCTAGTGAGGGTTTCTTTACATTCCAACCTCATGAGAGAGCAAACACAGCTACAACAAGCCAGACTGCATCCAAGACACCTGGAAACAAGTGATCTCTGCATCCCCTGAACAGACTTGGCTCATCTGCACTGACAGCAGTGAGGAAGGAGCTGAGCCAACACAACCAGAGATCCACCTCTATGGGAAGGGACTGCTCAAAGAAGAGTCAAGCACCAAATTTAGACAAGGTTGTTCAGAGCCTTGATCAATCAAATTCTTGAAATCCTCCAAAGGCAGATCATCCACGGTCTGCCCCCTTGTTCCAGTGCTTAAAATACATCATAGGAAAATAGTTTTCCAAACATCCAAATGGAACCATCCCTGCTTCACTTTACACCCATTGCTTTTTTGCTCTCTCAAAGTGCAGTCCTGGAAAGAGTCTGGCTCTGATTTCTCAGCACACTTCTCCCAGGCTTTTCAAGGTTGCTCTTGTCCAGAGTGACCAGCTCAGCTCTGCCAGCCTCCTCAGAGGCCCCATGCAATGAGATGTGCTGGGTCACTCCCATTCTCCATGCTCAGCTGTCCACTGCCACACGACAGCCTGGCCTCTTCCCAGTCACAGCAGCTATGCTTCCATGCCCTTCCAGCTCCAGGGACTCCAGTCTGCTCAGAACCTGTGACGGGTGACTCTGAAGAGCACTTGAAGCCAACCAAAATCAGAACAAGGTATAATGTGACACCAGAGCTCCTTAATAACATCAGTCCCTCTTACAGAGGAGTCTTGGGATCATTTCTCCCAGCTTGGAAGAGTCAGGAAAGGAAGAGCCTTTCTATTCTGCCCCCACAGAATTCAGGAAGATGAAATTGGATACATGAGGCTGTTCTCTCAAAGACAGGATAAAAAACCAGTGTCCCATTCAGACATGCAGGTGTAGCTAGAAGCCAGGCAGCAATACCTACCTCATAGCCATACTTGAGAACACAGGAGGCAAGGAATGCCCCAAGGATATTACCCACAGATGCACAGGCACTCCAGAGTCCAAAGACAAAACCTCTCCTGCAGAAGGGAAAGAAGATTTGAAGCAGACAATGCAAGGACAGATGACATTAAGAACAAGACAAAAACAAAACATTCAGGTGAACTTTAACTTATGAATAAAGTTATACCATTTTCCCTTCCACTTCAAAGGAGCTCAAAGTTCACTTAAAACAAAACACATAACAACTTGGAGGTGCCAAATAGATAAGCCAGGAACCCTGAAACATCTGTGTTAAAGGAGAGTGAGCTGGAAACAAGGTTACAAACTATGACTAGAGCTCATCTGCAATACCCCAAAGTGAGAGTAGAGCCCAGCATGACTCAGTTATCATTAGCCCTTTTTAAGCAGATAGAAACAGGTTTTTCAGTAGTAGAAAAATCAAAATTCAGTCACTCTACACTATGGGATTTTTGAAGTTTGAACCTATGCTTTAAACACCCACTGTGTTCACACCAGGCTGCTCTGTGGCTCCACAAAAAAGTGAAACAGAGAATGTAACAAGTAAGGCATATTTCATCCTACCTAATTTTAATTATGATCTAACAGTTGGCCTTTCTGGTTTGAGAATTTGAGCTCAATCTGTTACTCAGCATGTCAGATGAGTGAGTCACCGAAGAAAACTCAACTTACCCAGCTTTTCCAAACCAATTTCCCATGACAGCAACCACACAGGGCCAGCCAGTGGACTGCAGCAAGCCATTCACAACCCAGAGACAGCAGTAGAACCACTTGTTGTAGAAATGCAACCATTCTGTGAGTGTGCCAAAGGAGAACACCTAGAGGAGAGCAGGGGGAAAACAGACAAGACACCCTGAGGCTACTGCTGAAAGACAAGCAGGAGTGGGGTCCTAAAAAAAGGAACAAGCTTTCAGGGAGCTGTGCAGGGCTAGGGCAGAGGCCAGGCTGGTTTTTGAGACACAGCACAGGGCTCACAGCACCCTCTGCTGAGCCAGCACAGCTCTGACTCCAGACAAACAGGCTGTCATGGCACTTCCTCTCCAAAAGAGTTTTGCACACTTACAACAGGAGAAGAGAAGGAAGACACAAACAGTTTCAATGACAACACTAAAAATACAGTAGCCTCTTGATCTGCTCTTGTACTGACATGCTAATCCCTGAGGCTCTCTGCAAACACAGAGCACTCACAGGTCACATATCTTCACCAAATTTAACACAAATACTACAGCCAGCTCTCAAATTACCAAGTGCTCTAACCCAAAATAAACACACATTGTGGCACAGGGTGCTTGATGCACACTTGTAGTCATGTGTCTGCAGAGCCCAACAGGCCACAGTGGGGTTTGTAGCCACTGGTAAAACAAACACTGCACACATCTTACCACTACTTTAATAACCAGAAAACCACCAGATAAAACTGATTTACACTTATCTGAAGTGGCTTGAGCCTGAACACAAAGCACCTTTTGTTTTAAGCAGACATTCTTTTTTGACACATACCCTCCTGGCAGCTACATAAAATAAGTAAATGAGTGCCTGGTATTGTTAGGATGTCCTTTAAAGAACAGAGCAAGATTGTGTTTGGAAGCAAAAGCCTCAATAACAACATACATGGTCTAAGAGATTAAGTAATACCACAAAACAGTCCCCAAAAGCCCAAGTACACTAATCTTGAGCAAAAGTTGTTCAAGTCTCTAGACAGTGTCTCAAACACAGGAATTTCTTTCTAACACAATGTCCAGAGCAAGACATTTCAGGAAGGAGAGAGTCATCTATGCCCCATGCTTTAGGCAGTGCAGTTCATGCATCCAGCACCAAGTTATAGCTGCAGGCTTTGAGACCACTGAGGTACAGCTGATGAGCAGATTCACACAGAAACACAGCCTCTTCTCCCCTGCAGCAAAACCCTACCCAGAAACCCTAAGGCAGATTTTTAAATCCCACTACAATGTTCCAACTTACCACCAGAGCAGAGGAGCACATGCCAAAAGACAAAACCCAGCGTAAATTCAGGCGGTCCCCAACTATGCCGCTGACAAAGAGACCCTGAGAACAAACCACAGCATTAAACAAAGCCAGAGGATCTGCACCTTGCAGCTGTGAGAATTAAAACCACATAGAAAGGCCATACTAATCCAAACACTGCTGTTACATCAACATAGAGTTTGATTCTAACCACTTCTCCTGCCACCAAAGAAACCCTGCTTGTAGCTGCTCATTACATTTCTTGTTTGAAAGAATTCAGCTGGGAACTCTTGGAGAGACAGAACTAGTCCTCCCCAGTGACAGGGTGTAAGAAATTCTCAAGTGATAGTATTTCCCTTGTGTTTGTTAACAAGCATCTTCACATGGCTGACAGGCATGGGCAGAACTAACAGAAACTGAAAGAGGTTTGCCTCTGAACTAAGATTTTTATTGTGGGTGTGATCTTCCCAACAAGAGTCAACCAAAGCTGAGCAGTTTGGGGTTAGTTTTACTCACCACAGCATAGGAAAACAAAAAGATGGTGTCCAATGTTCCCAGGAATAGAGTTGCTTCTTCTGAATTTTGAAATAAATGGCTGCTGTTCCAGAGCTACAGAGGGAAAAACTGGACAGGTAAATGGGGAGAGGCACAGCTCATTCTACTCTTTTTCAATGGAAACCCCAGCTCCAAAGCAGAACAGCATCTGGCCCAAGCAAGCTCCCATTTCTCCAACACTTTAGTTATCAAATCAGGAACAATTCTGGCATTATCCTCTGGCAGAAAATGTCCACTGACACTTTGCTTCACTTCTAAAATGCAAGCTAGTAAACCAGAAGTGAGAAATGCTCCTTTCACCTGGATCAAGACAAATGAGTGGCAAAACAAACCCTACTTCTAACAAGCATGCAACTGTTAGACAGCTTCTTACTCTGAAACACTGATGAGCATTTTAATGAATAATACAATAAAGGGATATTCTGTTTTATGTGCAGCATCTCTTCTGTACTTCTCTTGCTGTCTTCATTAAATGAATAATTCCCTTCAAGTATTTGTGGCAGCAGCCAAAATAAGAAATGACAGAAAACAAACAGAAAAGAAAGAACACAAAAGCAACAAGGGGAAGAAATAGACTGGTTGGAAACTATTTACAACAAACTCCAGTCATCACTAATATTGCTGGGGTTTGTGCTTACCCTGAGTTTCACTTTAGTTTCAACATGATCAAAAAAAGGGAAAAAGTTTCACTAGTCCCCAAAGAAAGATTAGTGACATCAGATTAAAAAAAAATAGCAAGCTTTGAGGATAATTTGAAGAATTAATGAAGTGAATCAGAACAAAGCTTTCTTCCCTTCCCACTATGCCTCCATTAGAAAACAAACAAACCCAACCCAAGCCCGACCTGGAGATGTGCCTAACTCAAACATCATCAGTTTCAGCTTGATTCTACCTCTCCAGGAGAACATCCTGTACGGACAACACCAATCACACATCCACTTAGTTTAACAGATGTAACATATATTGATAACTAAAGGATCAGTTTGACCATTTTTCTTCATCAGACACATGCATCTCAACATCCAGCAAACACCAAATCATCTATATATTAAACAAAAAAATCAAAACAGCTTCCAAAATATACTGGTTGTTTGAATGTTAGTAAAGAACTAAATGTAAACACCTTGCATTTCATTTTAGCATCCCTGAGATGCTCACTCCTTTTGGCCATACTATAAAATCCTGAACACATTACAAGCCAAATGTACTGACTGTTTTCACTTATCACAAGAAGTCAGCATTTATCATCCTTCTATTCCCTCTGTCAAACATTCAAATAACCAATGATTTCTAATGCAGGCAATGCTCCAGCAGCTGACTTGGAACTCCCAGCCCTAATAGATCTCATGGCCTGTGACCAAGCTCTTGATGTGAGATTTCCACTTCTCAAAAGCATCAGGACAAAACATTACCAAAAAAAAAAAAAAAAAGGCCTAAAAACCCCATGGTAGGAACCAGGAGGTAGTTCTTGCCTTCCCACTTTCCTGCAAGCAAGCACTGCCAAAACTCCCACTGCTTTAACTGAAACCAGGATTTTACAGACAAGGGGTACTGGATGTTCAGCATGGAAACCAGGCATTTCAGATGCAAGGTAATATGCCATTCTTCACCATCAGTTTAGAATAACAGCTAGCACTGTCAGACAGCTCTCTTCTCTCCTAGTCTGGCTAACCTTTTAAGAGGGTGGCAGCAGCACCACTGCCCCAGAGAAAGCACAGCCAGGATTTCACAGGACTCTCTGTAAGTCCATTAACTGCTTTGGTTTATTGCCTCCAACCCTTCAGAGGAAGAGTCTCCCTTCCCCCTCCTCCATGCCACTGCAGACTCTTCTGGGGCCCCTTCCCACTGGAACACTGCAGCTTCTTGACAAGTTTCTCTCTGGGCACCACCAGGGAAGCTTTCAGCATCACCTGGTGATCCATAAAGCTACAGTGTGGGATCTCAGCCTCTCAGGGCTGAGGGGCAGAGTGACCGAGACCACCCCTGGGGAGCTCGGGAGTCCTGGAATGTTGCCAGAAATGTCTGGTGGCTGGACTTTGATCCCACAGGGGAGATGACATCAGTATGAGGATAGGAGGATTTCACCGGGGTGAATGGTGAAGGGACAAGTTAATTGGAGTGTGAGATACAGGGTTTAAGATTTCTGTACAGGGGGGTCTAGAGAGGTAAGATGGAGGAATTGGGGCGTGCCCTTCTCCTTCTTCTTCTTCCTCTAGGCCTCCATCTTCTGTGGTGATGTTGGCACTCTGGGATTGGACCTTACTAGGGGAACACTGGTTAATAAGGGTAGAGGGTATTGGAGAAAAATGATAAATATTGTATACGTAACTCCGGGTATAAAGATAGGTGACCGCCCCAGGGGCTTTCAGTGTGTGTGCCCATGGCTGACTGCTGAGCAGAACTCTGTCAGGCCAAGAGAAAATCTTTTAGATAAGCAATTAATAAACACCGAGACCGAGAAAAGATCTGAAGTCCCTTCTCGTCCTTTGGAGCGCGGGCGGCCCAAGGCCATCTTCGGGCTTTTCCAGACCATCTAAACAGCCCAAAATCCGACACTACAGTGCCAACACCTGAAGCTTCCACTCACACTCTGAGAAGTGAGGAACACCTAAAGGGGCTTCTTCAGCCCCACAAGCTCAGCCCACTGGCAGCTGCCCACCCTTCCTAGCACTCCCTTCTCCCTGGTGTCCTTACCTCACATGGCTGGAGCTTGGGGGCTGTGCTGTTTCGGGGCGAGGGAGTCCACTGGCTGGAAATGCTGACTTTGACATTACTGAATGTCTTTCTGGAGGCATGGAGCAGGGAATAACTGCCAGGAAACATGCAGACAGACACAGGTTGGCCCAATCTCCTCTGGAGAAAAGGTGGAAATACAAATCTCTGAGCACTCAGCCTACCTGAAGAAGGTCAGCAGGAACACAACAATGTGATGGTGGGTGCAGTGGGACACGAGGCCTCTGTTGGCAGGCTGCCTCCGTAAGGCTCCAGGCACAGCCATGCTCTGTTCCTGGCAGCCCTAGCCCTGCTCCAGCCTTGGCCACGAGGGCTGGATGCTGATTAAGTCATTCTTCTTCTCCCTTAAACAGAAGAAGATGGGAAGGGAGGAGAAAAGAAAACCAATTTGAAATAAAACATGTGTATGAAGTACAGCTCTGCTCCCCAAGCAGCTCGAATCCAGATGGAACAACTCCATGCCACGCCTTTCCAACTTGTTTCACACCACTCCCCATTCATCACTTGTACATTAAGGTGTTTTGTCATTCCCATTCTCCCAGTACCCTCATTGCACTTCTTTTTTGGTTCTCTCCTAGCAGATGCCTCTTCAGTGCCCAGGACCAAAGGAACACCCCTGGATCTACCAATTTCCAGCATTCTCCCATTACAGACCATTGTGCACCATTTACACACACGGTGCACTACAGTGTGACCATAAATTAGCTGCTATGGCTAATTCTTCTGCTACCTGGCTGGACACAGACAGGTGATGAAGCCACAGGAGCAGCATTTGGCTATGGCTGGAGAAGGGTTTTGAAGGGATGTGACTGCCTCATCAAGATGCTGTTGAAGGAATATGCCCAAGAGAGGACTTGCACAGATGGAAGAAGGGAAGTAGCTGTGAGGACAATGCTGAGATCCAACAGCTGGAATCCTTTCCTGTTTATTCTCAAGCCTGGCATTACAGCTCCAGCAGTCCCTAACTCATCAGTACAGCACACAACAAGTCACACCTTCCTGTCCCTACAGGATATGGGTGCAGGGCATGGGTGACACCTCAACCTCAAGAGAAGCAGGAACTGTCAGTACTGAGGGAAGGCCACCACAGACCACAGTTTCCTCATGCTGCTCCATGTCACACCACTCCCATGCCCCAGCTGTGCTGGCATGGCCAAGGAATGATGTTTGCTAACAGATTTTGGGGAACAGCCCCACTGGGCAGTGAGGGGACGAATCTCTCTCCACAGATTTCAGAAGACATGCCAACACCACAAACACTCTGAATGCAGAGGAGAGCTAAACTGAAGCACCACCCCTGTTCCCCCAGAGGATCAGCACTGAAACAGGACAGAATATTATGCCTTTGAGTCCTTTTGTATTCACAGGTGCTGTTTGTAATTATTTGCACATCTGACAGAAGTCTTTTCATGTTCAGCTTCATAACATCACCTGGAGAAAGTAGAAGTCATTGCCCAGACAGTCGCACTCACATTTCTGCAGCTGAAAATTCTTTATTTCACACAGACTTTCTATTTCTGCTTTTAAAGCTTTCATCAGGACACCTTGCACTGCAGGCAGTCTCCCTTCCCTGTTCTCCCAGTGGTGACACATGCCTGACCAACAGCAATACCCAGCTACTGCTGGATATGTGAACCACTGTGAAAACTGACATCACATCTGACCCCCAAAACAGAGTGTGGCACGGAGATCCTCTGAGTAACAGGGACCCAGCTATGACAGCTTTGAGACACCAGAGTCACATTTATCCTACACCTCCCTGAACACCTCCATTCTCATCCAGGGCAAACGCAGTGAGTCTGTACAAGACCTGGCACCATCTCTCTCCACACAGCCCAGGAGCTCTTGGGCCACCCTGCCACTGCTCCAGCTGGCACACAGCACCTCCCTGTAGGTACATGTGCCTACACTGCTTGGGCTCACACAGAGGAAAAAAAAGTGCCTACAGCTGGAGCTGTGGGAAGGCCAGACCAGCCCTGAAGAGGCAACTTTGCAGTCTTGATACTCCCTTGATTTGAGGTCCCAGCACCAGCAAATGAAGACCCAGCACCCACACAAGCACCACAGTACAGCAGTAACCCCACAGCCCAGGGCTGTCCCCACACAAGCTGCACTGAGAAGGGAAGCCAAGGCACTCCAGCTTCCCAGCTCCAGTCCTTGCAGGCTGTGAGCCACACGGTCTGCTGGTCAAACACAAAAGGTTCCTTGGCTCTCCCTCCCCTCCCACCCGGCAGATAACAGAGCTGTCCCCAGGAAAGCAAAACACTGCCAGTTGTGCAATGCTGTGGGGAAAAGATCCTTCCTTGGGTAATCAGTTTGCAGCCCAAAGCACAAGATTTACTACTTGCTTCATGTCAACACATGCAAACGTAGGTCTTATTTGTCCAAGATACGGAGTCCTTTTAAAGCTAAGACCTGGCATGACCTTAAAGTCACCTGATTTTTTTTAAACAGCATTTGCTATCGAAACAATCCGTTCCTCAGCGCTCCCCAATCTCAGGTCATCTTTCTAGAAGCTTTCTGGCACAGGACACTTTCACAGCGTAGAGATAACCATGAAAGATTTTGTTTTTCCTCTGTCTTCATCCTGCCCTTTCTATATTCAAAACTGGCATTCTTCCTAGGCTAGAAAAGTCTGCAACCAGTTTTTTCTTTAAAGTTAGTTAAATTATTGTGAGAACACCATGGTAACTTTGTGGTGGAGGAAGAGCAAAAAAGCTCAGCAGCAGGATGACCCACAGAACTCAAAGCAGTGAAGCACATGCCTTTAAGAAAAGAACAGGAGTGCTTTTAGAGTGTTAGACTGCCTCATGTAACTATTCAGCACTATTTACCTACAGCCAGCCGGTATTCTGAGTAAGCTTTTGATAGGCTTCCACCCTTATTTGTTAAGCTCTCCTCGGTGTTCTGCCTTATCCTTTCACTTAAAGGCAAAATAAGACACCTTAAGTTCAAAATAAACACCCTTAATGCTACCCTACTTCCCTCCAAAGCCGGCAGGAAAGCGCAGCCTTAACACTCCAAAGTGCAGAACAAACGAAAGGCTTTTTTCTTCAAAATAATAATAATTTTAAAAAACAAATAAAACCCCATCAAACCCAAACCAACAGACCCCCACCCTCCTATGCCATTTTTCCAAAGAGAAGAACAGCGGCACAGCCGCAAACGCACCCAGTGCCCTCGCAGCCGGCACAAACAGACCGTGTGTCACCGCGATGCCCGGCCGGGTGCTGTCTGGGGGGAAGGACAAGGGGCTGCCCCGAGCACCCCAATGCTCCGAGAGCGCTCCGGGCTGCCGGGGAGGCCGGGCCGCGCTCCCGCCCGGCACCGCAGCCCAGCCCAGCCCGAGGAGGGGGCGAGGAGCAGGACGCGGCTCCCTCCGGGCGCGGTGGCCACGTCCTCGGCGGGGCGGGGAGCGGAGCCGAGCAGGCAGCGCAGGGCAGGGCAGGGCAGGGCAGGGCAGGGCCCGGCTCCGCCACCGCCGCCACCGCCGCCGCCGCCTCACGCCCCGGGGAGCCGCCCGGCCCCGCGCTCTGTACCCGGCCCCGCGCTCTGTACCCGGCCCCGCGTTCTGTGCCCGGCCCCGCGTTACGTGCGCGGCGCCCAGCACGGCCGGAGGAAGTCGGCGGGCGGGGGCGGCCCTTCCGGGCGGTCCCGCGGAGCGGCGGGAGCTGTAGTCCGGCCGCGGCCGCCGCCGGGGCCCTGCCCGCCCCCTGCGCGGGGCGGGAGCGAGCGGCCCGGCCCCTGCGCGGCCCGGCCGAGCCCGGGGCGGGGAACGGAAGGAAAGGGAGGGGAGGGGGCGGACTACAGCTCCCGCCGGGCCCGCGGCAGGGCGGTGCAGGGCGGCGCTACCTGTCCCGGCAGGGCGGCGCCGGCAGGTGAGCGCCTGGCACCGGCTCCTTCCTCGGGCCGGCGGCTCCTCCTCCTCCCCCGCCTGGCCGCAGGCCCGCCCGGCAGCGGCGATGCCGTTCCCCAGCTCCGGCGCGGACGATGCCTTCGACTACCTCTTCAAGATCATCCTGATCGGCGACTCCAACGTGGGGAAGACGTGCGTGGTGCACCGCTTCAAGACGGGGCAGTTCAACGAGAAGCAGCAGAACACCATCGGCGTCGACTTCACCGTGCGCTCCATGGACATCGACGGCAAGAAAGTAAAGGTCGGTGGCGGGAGCGAGCCCGGGGCTCCTGGCGTGCAGCGCCTCGGCCGAGCCGCCCTTCCGTGCCGGTGCCAGGAAGCCGCGGGACGCACGGCACCTCCTGCCCGGCCCTGCCGAGGGCAGCTGGCATAACCTGGCTGCCTTTCTAACCAGGGGTGTTGCCCAGTGGAGTTTTCTCTCAGGAAGATGTCTTGGGGGAAGCAGTCACCCTAATTTGGGTACATACGTGTTCTCGTGACTTCTCGGCATCTGCTTAAAAAGAGGGCTTGAGCTTTGCCTGCAGGGAGTTCTTTGGAAGAAGGCTATAGTTTGGAGATGTCTCTTCCCCCCAGAGATATGAGGGTTTGAGCTGGCACACCAAGGAGGGAAAACCCCCAAAGTTTGCAAAGGCTCCACTTTGATGTGTGCTAAATTTGAGGGAAGAAGACTTCCAAGACAAACACCAGAAGAAATTGTCAGCTAGAACTTCCCTCTGTGTGCAGATGAAAGTTAGGATGCCTGGCTTTTACATATAGATTTGCTCTGCCCAGCCCTGTGTTAGGGTTCTTTGCTCTTCTTCTTGAAAGGCTGTAATGTTCTGTGTCTTTTACTACAGTTGTTGAAAATGGGTTTCTTGGCCTCTTTGCAAAGCTGGGTTGACCCTTGGAGCTTTCTCTTTAGTCTGTGTAGATTGACTGTGCAGGCTTGTAAATGGCTTTTTGGATGTAGGAAGGGCACAGCACACTGGTGTGATAGAGTGAGCTGGGACAGGTCTAGCTGCCTTCTGCACAAGAGGCTTCAAATGCTGAGGGCAAGCACACAGGAAAGTGGTGCTCAGGGGTCTTTACAACTTCTGTCCTTTCTCTTACAGATCCAAGTGTGGGACACAGCCGGTCAAGAGCGCTTCCGGACAATAACCCAGTCTTATTACAGGAGTGCCCATGGGGCCATCCTTGCCTATGACCTTACTAGGAGGTCCACATTTGAATCCATTCCTCACTGGATTCATGAAATTGAAAAGTATGGTGCTGCAAACTTGGTCATGATGTTAATTGGTAGGATTTTAGTTTTAAATATTGTGTTATGTAGATTTTTAATATGGATATAAAATCTCCCTCGTTTCCTACCACTACTTGAAGCATCTATACACTATGCATTAAGGAAGAATTCAGTTCTAATTAAAATAGATCACCTAGTGTGTCATTTCAACCTAAGCTTAAAAAAATGAGGAGAGTCATAGCCTGGTCCTGACAGGACCAAACCCATTGCAGACAGCAAAACCCTTTTGCAGTTGTTCCTTTCCTGCTGGAATAACACAACAAGCTTTGCTGCCAGGCTGGAGGCAGGGACATCTTGTTGAGGTTAGAACTGCAGCCAGCCTGACCCTGTACTCCTGCTGCACGGGAATGTAGCAGCTCAATAATTCACGGTGAAGGGGGATGCACAGACTCCTGGTTCTCATCTTTCCTCTCTGCTCTCTTGATATGCATGCGCTTTGCCCTGTAATGGGATTCCGAGCAGGTAAGACAATAGATGGGGAGATGGCTTTTGCAGAGCTGGAGTGGCCTGCTTGCATTCCACTGGCGCTCAGGAAATTGCCTCTTGGAGGGGAGCAGTGCTGGGAACTGCGGGGAATGGAGCTGGTAGGAAGCCGCGGTTCCTTTCCCTTGGGTTTCATGGTTATTATTGCTGTTCCCTCCCCCAGGGAAGGAGCTGCGAACGACAACGCTGGTGTGGTGAAACACCAGAGCCTTTCTTGCCCTTATTTCCATTGGCGTGGCCGAGCCTGTTGCAGCGTGCTGGGAGCAGCTCAGCAGCGGGGCTGGGGCAGTGCTGAGCCCCAGGCTGGGCCCCTGAGCTGCTGCCTCTGCTCCCAGCACCCTCCTGCTTGTGCTGCTGAGATCTCTCCTGTCCTTCCTCTGGACCTGCTTCTAATGCAGTGCTTGGAACTGGGGGCAGGGGAGTGTAAATCACTGCACTTTGGCTGGTTTTTCCTAACTTCTGTCATGAATCTAAAGAAAGAGACTTAGTATGTGGTGGGGGATGGTGGTGGTTGTTGGGTTTTTTTTAGGGAGAGAGGTTCTTAAATTAGTAAAAAGTGAAGCTTTTGTTAAGGATCCAGCTTGGTGCTTTCTTCCAAAGCTGGTGCTGTTTGCTTTTCTTACCTTGGCAGAAATCGTTGTACATTTAATTACACTTAGTCACGTTATACACCTTTCTAGCAGGAAGTTGAGGTTAGGAAACCTAACTTTCCTATCTGGAACTGAAGGAGGAAAAGCTGGGCAAATAACCCTCAAGCTGGGTTTTTTTTTTTGTTTTTTTTTTGTGGTTTGTTTGTTTTTTTCTTTTGTGGGGTAGGTTGGTTTTGGTTTTTTCCTTTTAGAAATAGTTAAAGGGACTTTATGAGAGGGTAGTTACTTTATATATATTCAAGATACTAATTTGATGAAGGGTTGTCTTGAAACTACAAATGTAGGCTTCAGCCAGCTGCTATAACTGAATAATCCACATGTGCTGCAACTGCCTAAATATACAAAGATATTTTATCTGAGGTGTTTCATGACAGATTTTGACTAATGTGCTGCAAGTAAAAGTTTAATCTATACATGCAGAAACAAGTATATGTTTTAAGCATTAAGGTAGCTGATCTGAATTCTTGTCTTTCTTTGTATATCACCCTAAAAGATTTTTAACAAAAAAAATATTCAATGTAAAGGCTACTTAATATTTAAAACCTCTAGGGAACAGGACAATAGTTGCTTCTAAATAATCTTTTACTTACACTAAGTAATCAGATGAACACAGGTTTTTAGTTTTTTCTTGGATTTCATCTCTTTTGCTATCATTTGATTTGCTGCAGTTTTAAACCACAGTCTATATTTGTGGCTCTGGTGTTCTCACATCTTGTTCTATGCAGTAACTCCTACTGCTAACATAAATCTATTGTTTAACAAAACTCAATTCCTGCATCCATTTAAAAATAAATTTTTGAAAGCCTAAGTGGTTGAAGTATGTCTTTGCCTTCTTTTAAGGGAACAAATCGGATTCGCTGGACAAGCGCCAAGTGCTGTTTGAAGATGCCTGCACCCTGGCAGAGAAGCATGGGCTCTTAGCTGTGCTGGAAACATCAGCCAAAGAAGCTCAAAACATAGAAGAGGTGTTCACATTAATGGCTAAGGAGCTGATAGCCCGAAATACCTTACAGCTTCATGGGGAGAACCCTCCAAACAGCTTCAGTCTGGACTCCAGGCCAGTGATTGCCAGTCCAAATGTGGAGAAGAGCCAGTGCTCCTGCTGAAGAGAAGCTTCAGGGAGAACTTGGAAACTGCCATACTTCTGAGGCTGTTTGATTCAGTTTTGTTCAGTTGATGAAAGTTTTATGTGGCCTCAAGCCATCTCTCTTGATACTTCTACCTTGCAGTTTGGCTTGTGAGTATTTTCAGAGATCACCGTTGTTGTTGGTAGCATAGGTTGCTTTGAACATAGCAATGTGAACTTCTGAGATGAGACAACTCAGGAAGCTGCCAGGCCTTGCCCTAACCAAAGAGAACTATAAAAGTTATTGCCTTTAATTATTTCCTTACATGTCTTTCTGGCTGTGTCAGAAGATAAATTTGCAGAGTTCTGCACTGACCCTTCTAAGCTGTGTTGCTGGTTTTCAGCACTTTCCTCTCTGCCAGCAGCTGTAAAAAGTCTGACGCATGCTTGGACAGCACTAACCCACTCCTGCCTAAACTTTGATTTAGGAGCTCTCCTGAGGTCAGACGGGTAGCCACCCATGCCAAGGAGCTTAATAACATTTGTGAAAGGGTAGAGGATTTCACATCTGCCCTGAGTTCCTCACCAGACAAACCTGGAGACATCTCAGGGGTGGCACAGCAGGCAGAATATGATACACTTCTTCCTGGGGTGAGAAAAGTTGCCTTTCTTTGCTTTGTAATAGTCAGGATTATTTCCAGTACTGTTCTCCATCCTGCTACATGGACTTGCTGGGAGAAGCAAAGCTTCCAGTGAAAGAACCCCTTTTTTTCCATTCCTCCCTGATAACCTCATCTTGCTTTTGATGTGCTAATTTTAACCAAAAGCCTTCTGTATCTTGTGATGGGCCAATGGCAGCTTGAGAGTATCCCTGTAGATCTTCAAGGGAGTGTGAAGGATGGATGCAAGCTCCTGTAAAACTCAGCAAGGGGTGAGATGGTTTAAGTTAGGC